ATCTTATGGCCAACCTCTGGCTGTATCTTGGTCATATTACCCAGCAAAACCCAGTATGCAGGTTCATTTGTAACAGTCCTTGTGCCATGGATCTGTACTGTTGCTTCTACTTTAAACAGAAGAGCAGTGACGTGGGTGCAGGTCTCCACGACTCCGGCCATACAGCTGCAGTGGGCGGCTTCAACCTTCCCTGTGATGCTCACAGTGACCTATGGCTGCAATGCTGGTTCATTCAGTCTTTGAGAGTGCAGTACCTGAAACACACACACAGACAAAGTTCATTTAAAGACAAGAACTATGAGCCAAGGCCGACACAAACGTGTTTTATCTACTTTATCATAAATGTAACAAAGTGTTTAGAAAGTTGGCACATACATGTAATTTTTTTATTTCTTTATGTGTCCATCTATAGAACGCTGCATGTTATAGTGTAAACCTGTCTGCAGAAAATGAACCTAAAGTATGTAATGCAAGGATGTAATCACTTTAGAGATGGAGAAAGCATAAAGTGACAATTATCAATCACTTATTATGATCAGGAGATTCTGCAGGTCATTAATCAATATATAAAACTAAAATAAAATGTATTTTTAGTGGCACAAGATACAAATATGGAAGCAAGATGTGTAATAAGGATTATTTATAATAAATATGAATTAATGAATTAATAGTACTAGTTTAACCATAGAGAATAACTAAATCCTTCAGGACAATGTCACATCAATGCACTGAACTCACTATGTTATCCCTCTAACAGCCTCCACGTGTTCTCACTGTAATTTCCCCTCATGATTGAATTTATGCTGCACTAATGTGAATGTTTGGAGGGAAATCAAACGCATTTCACACGCAGTACTTGAGCTGACTTACCTTTGTTTGAATGACGACTTGTACGCGCTGACTCCACAGATAAGGTACGAAAATGTCAGGCTACGTCAATAGCGGTAGGTCTTCAGGGTTTCTACTCCACGGCCGTATTTCATACGGGTCCACATTTCCAATGCACACTATTTTCTGCAAGTACCGTCGCCTCGCCTCTGGACGCAATCGGTCTCTATACAGTCCATTCTCTTTTGAGCTGCTTTTAAGCATCTTTCTTGTAGTCGTCGTTCCAACACAGTGTGTTTGTTTTGATTCGTAGACCCCGAAAATGGCGCAGCGCTCCCACAATGCATTGTGGTGTGACGTCAACTCCAAAGCCCTATTACCGTGAACGGTATGATATGGCCCAGGCCTACCCAGGTGCCAAGCTTTAAAAGTAGGCAATAAAATCTTAAAATCAATACTAAAACGTACAGGAAGCCAGTGAAGGGACAACAGGACCGGGGTAATGTGTTCATGCATTTGAACACCTGTTAAGGGCCGAGCTGCTGCATTCTGGAGTAACTGCAAGTGGCGAAAAGATCACTGTTAATACCAAAGTATAGGGAGTTACAGTAGTCCAGGCAGCAAGTGATAATAGCATGAAAGCATTGTGTGTTAGAAAGGGCAACGATTGAGCTTAGCATGTCTTTTATTATGTGTTAGAAAGTGTTTAGGCATAGTTAATGGTGCTGTATGATTATGTGTGACTGGGTGAATAAGACCTACAGCAGAAAGGTGCGTTTACCATTCATCTTGTTTTGCTTTCTAAGACTAAGGCATGGCCGCTATAGACTGTTTCTTTATTGACATCTAGTGGCAGCAGCATTACTGTGTGCTCCTCAATTCTGCTTATTTTCTACAAGTTGTGTAGTTTTCTTCCCTTTGCCTTTTGCTGTAAATGTTGTACCCACTGTGACCTGGAAAAAAACCAATCAAACTGTTAATCGATGAATCAGTTACACGGCAGGGGGACTAAACGACTTTTGGATCAGACTCTGAGTCTGTCAGCAGAGCTTAATGTCACGGTGTACAGTTGGTGCAAAGGATCAAGAAGTAGCTGTCTGATCACATTGTTTAAACCTAAAACAGGAAGTCAGTGGAAGTGCAGTCCAGAACCTGCCCCAGGCTGGATGATGTCAGCTACAGCTCAGGCTCAGGGTTCTGCAGAGGAAAGCAGGTTTTAACAAACCTGGATGTGGACTTCACTGAGACAGCTTGGGTCACATGTTAGCAAATAGTTTTACATCCTGTATATGTTCATTTGTATTTAGGCAGTTTTACAAAGGGGAAAACAAATATGTCATTACTTTCTATAATACGCTGTAGCCATCTGTCAAATATGATGACTGTATTTGTAATATTTTTTATGTATTTTTCATTTATTTTATTATTTTTATTGCAACTGTTGTAACAAAAGTATTTTCCACCACCATCATCATCATCATCATAAAGGAGATATTTGTAAATGAAGCCCTGGTACCAGGACTCTCAGAAGATTTAGGTTTTTGCACATGAATGCACTGATAATGATTTATCCCAAAAGTCGGTGCATGGCTGTTTTTTCAGAGCAGGTAGACGGAAGAGGAAGTGCATAAATTAAATGCAGCAGCTGGGGTCTGTGTGCTCTTGTGCTAACCAGCTGTTGTCCAGGAAGGCTTGGATTACATCTAAGAGATGCACCACTTAGTTTAACTTGAGATGTATGAAAATCCCAACAGTTGTAAACATACTGCGTGTTTGAATCCTTGAATTTTTTGGTTTGATGGCGAGATGTCTTTATAATTAAAGCCGTTAGACCTCAGTTGTCTGGAACTGCAGTTTAATCACAGAACTGTTCTAAAGTTTTGCTAATGAAGAGCAAAAACAGGATCTCATGCAGGCGAGAGCTTGCACATGTTTGGGACAGATTCATTCACTGCTCTTCATGAAATCTTCTCTTCTGTCCCTGTCAAAAATGCAAAGGCATCACTTCTTGTTTGGTATCCTAATTCTGTCCTGTCTTGTATAAATGAGGTGCATACTGACTGAGGAGAAGAGGTCAAACTGAAGTGCTTCTGTTGTTTCAGAGAGGATCTGACGAACTTTTCTCCAGCGTCTCCAACAGCCCTTATATCATGAGCACCACAGGTCAGAACCCACTCTGCACACGCGAAGGTGTTTGTGTCAATGCACAACTTTTAATGGACAATATTAGCTTATTGAGTTTTGAGTTATGTTTTTTCCAGACATGGGATGAAGTAAGGGGTTCATAGTGTAAGATGACTTAAGATTCCTGACTATGAATGACACAAAGCTCCTCTAGAGTCCAGGAGTGAAAAGATGTATTTAAAACGATCAGAAAAATAATTATTATTCAGATTTTCAGACAAACTGTCTGCACTCTGAAAGAACAGATTGAAATATCCATTAATCTCATATAAATACTATTTTGTTTTTTTAAAATGTAAAAAATATTGGACAGAAATGGTTTCATGCCGGTTTACAGGCGGATGATAAAGACGGAAAGAATCAGCAGTGTTAACACAATAAGTTTGAAACACCACAAACTGATGGGAGTGTTCAGCACCAGGACTCCTGTCTCTGCTTTGATTCATTTAATAAAAAACTGTGTTTCCTCTCCTCTGTAGCCAATGGCAACGACAGCAAAAAGTTCAAAGGTGACATAAGAGGTCCCAGCGTGCCATCCAGGGTCATCCACATCCGTAAGCTTCCCAGCGACATCACAGAGGCGGAGGTGATCAGCCTCGGCGTGCCTTTCGGAGACGTCACCAACCTGCTGATGCTCAAAGCCAAGAACCAGGTACACACTACAGCGTCCTGTGAGAGTATTTTTTTTCCATCCACAGTTCACAGGATCCAGATTACATAACTTAGCTTGGTCGCGTCTCAAATTGAGATGTTTTTTGTTTTGTTTTGTTTTTTGTTGTTTTTTTATCATGTACGAAGAGACACTGATCAATACGAAGGCTCTCGGGTCTACAGATCTGTGTGTTGAGGAACCGCATCATGAGCAGCTGCTTCTTACATGTTCTGTGTCTCTTGTCTCTTCTTAGGCCTTTTTAGAGATGAACTCAGAGGAAGCAGCTCAGAACCTGGTGGGTTATTACTCCACCATGGTGCCGATCATCAGGCACCATCCAGTCTATGTACAGTTTTCCAACCACAAGGAGCTCAAGACTGACAACTCCCCAAACCAGGAGGTAACACATACTACTGTTAGCGCCTTAGCAGCTCCGTCCCTCTGTTAGCACCTTGTTAAACCGCCCCCCCTTTCCTCTCTTCTCTTTCAGAGGGCTCAGGCGGCTCTTCGGGCTCTGAGTTCATCTCACGTGGACACGGCGGCGGTGGCTCCGAGCACAGTACTGAGGGTGGTGGTGGAGAACCTCATCTATCCCGTTACCCTGGATGCCCTGTGCCAGGTATCCGTAGTGCACCACAGCAGTGTGCGTGCATGTATGTAGATCACTGCTTTGATCAAAGTCATGACAGATGGAGAATAACTGTGAACCGACTGTTCTAAAGTTCATCTATAATAAAACAGCAGTTAAACACGCACCTTTCGGTGCTTCGCTCTACCTGTTTCACTCCAGCATCAGGTGTTTGCACTAATGACATGCTGTCAGTTCTGCGAAGAAGTAGTTAAGTAACAGATTACTTTAGCAGGAAAAGAGAAGATAACCCGAGCAACACTCGGCACAAAACAGAGCAGCAACACAAACAAACCAGATGCAGCATGAAATGATGACCTGCAGTACAGGTTGGTTAGCAAGAGGCTTGCAGATGTGCAGCAACTCTTGGCAGGCTAAAACAACATAAATGAGATTTAAACTAAGCTGCTGTTTGGTCCTCAGATCTTCTCAAAGTTTGGCACCGTGCTGAGGATCATCATCTTCACAAAGAACAATCAGTTCCAGGCTCTGCTGCAGTATCCGGACGGCGCGTCAGCCCAGGCGGCCAAACTGGTGAGCATGATGGTTCCCAGTGCTTTTGTCGCTTCTACTAAATGGTAGAAGTAACGAGTGTTACTGCTGCGCTGTTTCAGTCTCTGGACGGTCAAAACATCTATAATGGCTGCTGTACTCTGAGGATCAGCTTCTCCAAACTCACCAGTCTCAACGTCAAATACAACAATGAGAAGAGCCGAGACTTCACCAGACCAGACCTTCCCACTGGAGACAGCCAGCCCACCATGGAGCATACGGCCATGGCTACAGCCTTTAGTAAGATCCCACCATACTGATGTAACATCACTACAGCTGTGCTCAGCTGAGGCGGAAGAAAAAAAAAAAGTACTACACCAGTCGAACTGAGGAAGGGACAGATTTAGTATGGAAGTTGTTTTGAGAGGGTGTCCCCTGTTCTCTGACACACACAGACACTGCAGACATGACATGTGAGTCAAAAGGGCATCAGAATGCTCTCAGTGCGAAGCTCGTTTCAGTCAGTGAAATGAGCAGAAACTCAAAAGAAGATCAATTACCAAACTGTGAATCATGCAATGCTACTCTAGATGGCAAGAATAAAAATACTGAGTTGAAATTATCATTCTAGTTGTCTGTAATAACCTAAACTGATTTAAAGTCCAGTAAATCAATTCAATTTAGTTTTATTTAGAGATACTGCACAAATGGGGGAAAAAAGCAGTCCTACATATTTGTTTAATATGTGCATTGAAGGACAAATCCTGGTTAAAAATTGTATGATTGATTTGTGGTTAAAATCCAGCTGGTGTTTCTTGTCTGCAGCTCCAGGCATCATCTCTGCTGCACCGTACGCTGGAGCCACTCACGCTTTTCCACCAGCCTTCACCCTGCAGCCTGCTGGTGAGTGTCAGTGCTAAGAGAGAAGGATGTCTGTTAGATGACACACACTTTGAAAAGTGATCACCTTGTTTTTTGAGAATGACCTTTGCAGCTGCAGACAGACCCAGCAGCTGAGTTATTGTGATAAAGCCTTTAGAGGGTTTTCAGTTGCTTATCCTTAAGGAACGCGTAGACTCCTCACTATAAGTGTGGAAATAATGGTTAGGTTTAGGATCACTGTGCATGGGAACCCTGTTGCATTCCCTCCTTCCTCTGCACCCGAGGAAGGTGGATCTCATGATTGAATTCAGGGATGCAAATATTTTCCATATCAGTTCATCTGCAATTATCATTTGTTCTCCACATACCAGAAGTGTTGAAGCCTTAGTCTATGAATGTGTGTTGTGTGATGCATCTCTGGCAGTTTGCAGATTTTTGTTTACTTGTCTCAACTCTCCCAGTGTCCTCCCCCTACCCAGGACTTGCGGTCCCCGCTCTGCCCGGAGCCCTGGCCTCTCTGTCCCTCCCTGGGGCCACCAGATTGGGATTCCATCCAATCCCTGCTGGACACTCTGTCTTGCTGGTCAGCAATCTCAATCCTGAGGTTAGTGATTGTCTCCCAACAGGCTGTTAATTCATGTATCTGTATCATTCAGTATTTTGGACATGGAGTGAGATGTAAAGTGTTTTCAGTGCTCTGTTCCACCTGGATTTTAAAGTTCATGTTTGAATCAGTGAGTGGAAGTGGAGCAGAAGTGTTTGAGTGCACAGGAGTTAAAAAAAGAAAAAAAGGCAGCTTGGATAACAGCTCAGCTGCAACGTGCACAGCGGTGATCCTCAGAACCGCCTTTCTCTGACACGGCTTGATGTCATCTGTGGTTTCTTCCACCACTGTGGTTTATTTCTAAACCCTACCACATAATCCACAGCTGTGAGCAGCATACAGGCCTCTGCACCCCCACTGTGATCAGTTTGACGCTGATGGACTGTTGAGCCACAACATTAAACCTACCTGCCTAGTGCTGTACATGCACCAGTCTGCAGTATTGGGATACCAGTGACTAACTCATCAGGATGCTGATGGTGGGTCTGCCTCCCACTCCAGTTCATTTTTGATCAGATTAGGATCTTGGGCATGTGGAGCCCACACCCTCTGGTTCATATGCCCAAATAGAAAACGTGAGACTATTGTCAAGCAAGTTCTTAACAGTCCAACATCCCCAACATAGTGTCACTGTTAGGGAACATCCCAATCTAATGGAAGCAGTCATGTGCCTGTGTACACACTGCGGTGATCTAGTAGTTATGTCCCTCTGCTGCGACTCAGCCAGCTGTTCAGCTCCTACATCAAAGTACTGCAAGGAGGAATCCATGGTACTGAATAGGCCAATCACTGTCCTGACCTGACATTTAGTGGTATTGCAGGGAGCTGCAGGTCAGATACCCCCTGTGCTTACAGCACAGCAGTGTTGTAGATTTGCCACTACAGCAGAAATCCCCACTAACAGAGCGTTGCACCTCAGTCTGGTTGTTAAATGATGGGAAATCTTTCTGAATTCTCATCATTAAACAGTTTGACTTCATGTTTGTTCGTCTCCTCTGACACTGATGTTTTGCTCACAGATGGGTTTTGCCTTTGATTCGGGAATTTCTTTCATATTAAACTCTGTCATGACCCCTCCCCTACCACACACACACACACACCTGTGCACTCATGTAAAAATGTTGTTCTCATATTGACATTATCTGTATGTGATCCCTCCTCCAAAGGTAATTAACCTTCTGATTGACCCTGCACCTGTCTTTTTTCCCCTTTAATTTGTTGCCATGGAAACACCTTGGACCCTGCACCTGTCCTGCCCTCCCACCTTTACCTGTCCTGTCCCTCCGCTGCCTTCTCTGCTGTCTTTAAAGAGAGTTACGCCCCACTGCCTCTTTATTCTCTTCGGTATGTTATTACTAGCTTCTTATTTTGAATTATCAGTACCACATGGTTGTTCTGATTTAATTTTTATTAAAATTCTGGTTTCTGTTTGGTTTTTTTCCCCTCTTTTTCATTATTTTTGGTTTAATGAAAAATGGTGTGTACTGGTCTTGTCAGATTTTGTGTGTTGAATTGAAATTTTCACAATATTTGCAGCTTTCCCTCAGTGGTTTTCTTGCCAAAAAAAGGTCATCTTTGTACAGAATCCTTCATTTCTTACCAAGTAGAAACTAAATAGCAGTAGAGGCTTTTAAAGCCTCTTCTAATTTTCAGGAAGTGCATCCTTTGGTCAGATGAGATGAGACTACACACTGCTTATGTTTGGAAAAAGAACATATACACTGTCCCCCACAATGATTATTTTCATACATATTTATTCATGCTTTGCACACTCTTGGGATTCTCTCGATGAGCTTCATGCCGAAGTCACCTAAAATGTTTTTCCGGCAGTCTTGAAGGAGTTCACAGAGAGGCCGAGCACTTGATGGCCCCTTTGTCTTCACTCTGCAGTCCATCTCGATTGGGTTTAGGTCAGGTGACTGGTGCAGCACTCCAACACTCTCCTTCTTGGTCAAATAGCCCTTACACAGCCTGGAAGTGTGTTTAAGATCATTGTCCTGTTGAAAAATAAATGATGGTCCAACTAAACACAAACTGGATGGGATGGCATGTCACTGCATTGAACTTCAGTTCTTAAAGTAATGATGAACTGTTGTTTCTCTTTACTTGGCTGAATGGTTCTTGCCATAATATGAGTTCTAACAGTTGTCAAATAGGGCTGTCAGCTGTGTACCAACCTGACTTCTGCAGAACACAACTGATGGTTCCAACCTGATTAAGAAGGCAAGAAATTCCACAAATGGACCTTGACAAGGCACACTTGTGAAGTGAAAACCATTTCAGGTGACTACATCATGAAGCTTATTGAGAGAAGGCCAAGGGTTTGCAGCGCAGTCAACAAGGCAAAGGGCGGCTTCTTTGAGGAATCGTATTTAGAGTTATTTATCAAGTTTTTCTTTGCTACATAATTCCATATATTTGACATCTTCAGTATGTATCTACTATGTAGATAGTACTTAAAATAAAGAAAATCATTGAATAAGAAGGTGTGTCCAAACTTTTGATGGTTAGTGTATATCTGACTAAGTTGTGGTCTGAATGCTTAAAAAAGCATTAAAATGGATATGAAGCCAATGAAAGACAGAACTGAACGCTGAAAAGAAGTCTGTGGTAATAAGAGTTGGAACATTACTAATGCAGCGCTGCATTACTGCACTACTTATCTGCAGAGAGTAGTTTTACTCTCTGCAGATAACTTTTGTCATATTTTTGAGATTTGCAACATTTTTACAATTTCATAAGAAAATCGCTCAAGAGACAGTCGTCAGCTGAGGGCACTCTTCTGTTTTCTAGGACATTTTGGCAGTAATGGGAATTTTCAACACAACAGGAAACACTTTGTGCTAATGTGTCGTGTTGTTCTCGAGTCCAGGGTCCAGCTCTTAGATGAGCGCTGCCTTTCAAGCTTTATGTGCTCGGAGTACACAGTTATCATTCAGTTGGAGTCAGAAAGTTTGAAAGCAAATATTTGCTTTAATTCTTTTAAAAAATGTAATTTTTAGTTTGGGCCTAACACTCTGAGGAGCTGCATTTATTGTGTTTTGTCATTTGATTGTCTGTTTTTAATTTTGCATGCTGGGGTTTCTTACATTTTGCATGTCCTCAGTGCTCAATCAGTGCTTTTGTTTTATTATTTTATTTATTTAGTTTTTGTCCCATAATTCATAGCTCCTACACATTTTTGTTTTTGTTTTGGGTTTTCCCCTCTGACCCTTAATTTTCCTCACTTGAATTTTCCTGTATTTAACCATTCAGGAATTCCTGCTGAGTTCACGCATTTGTAAGTTCCTTTAGTCATGTTTGCTGCTGCTCCCCTCACTTCTGGGGTTTGTATGCAGCCCTTCAAACACAAAAGCCATATTTGAGCATTGAGACAGAGGGTCAGTCGCCTGGCAGGCTAAAGTCAGTCCAATACACATCTTCCTGTAGGGCTTGGTGGCAGGGAGGGTTGCTTTCCTATTTCCTGTGTGCCAAATAACCTGGTCCTCTTTATTTAAGGTGTCTATGGAGATGTCATGAGAGTGAAGATTCTGTTCAACAAGAAAGAAAACGCTCTGGTTCAGATGTCTGACAGCACACAAGCTCAGCTAGGTAACACTCTGCACATGTGTGGTTCTCAGGTGTCTCAAAATCAGAGTATTAAAAGAGTTAGAGTGCTGCTACATGAGTGTTGCAGAAATGTCTTAAAATGTGTTGTTTCTGCATCTTCTGAGTTTAAATGACTGTGATGAACCCAGATTGTCACAGTGGTCTTTCATCTACCATAAAAACATTCTTAGTCTGGAGTCTACAAAACTAATACCCTCATACCTCTGCTGGTGCACCATTGACTGGGAGCACGTCATGGGTTGTTGCTATTTTGTTGACGTTACTCTCAACCATTAATTAGGCCCTCTGCTGATTCACTCAGGTCTTTTTACCTGCCCAATTTTAACATATTAAAGAAGAACTGACTATGGCTGACAGTCAAATAAACTGGTACTGATACAAGTTGATAATTGTTGTGATCAACTTGTGATCTGTGATCACGACTCTCAACCTTAGCTTGGCAACAAAACAAATTATTCAACATCTGAAATGTTGTGTTGTGAGCATTGGGTTAAGCAAACGTGTTTCATTATAAAGTCACAGTTTTTTGTATTGTATCTTTATTTTAGACACATACAGGAAAAAAACCCGATATATACAAGTACACATACTTGCATTTAAATGTACAAATACGAATATATATGTAAATACACACACGTATGTGCTCAGACAAAACAAACAAAAGAAAATAGATATAATGAAATTAACTCTAAATGACATGAAATTACAATTAAGTCTGAAATGGAGTAGTAAGAAGTATAACATACTTATTAGTCACTACCCCATGTTAAACATTCTATTGAATCCCATTATTCATTGTTACCCCTTATTCCCATCATCACTTACCCCACACAATAAACAAGGAATGAAGGACATGTATTAACATAGCTACAGTGATAGATACAATTTAGTATAGTTACATATACAATGGGTGATCAACTTTATCAGTTTCATATTCTTCCAAAAGCAGTTTTCGAAACATCTTTATGAACTGACTAATGATTGAACATTGCTGTAGGTCCACAGGAAAACTGTTCCACAGTTTTACCCCACAAAAGGTTCTAACCTTTATCCGTGCTTTAAGAGTCTTCAGATTTAATTTTCCCCTCAGTTCATCAAAAATGCTCTTGACTCCAGACTAAAACAAAAGGAAGAGATGAGGAGTGTTCATTTTCTAAGAGCTTGCTAAAAATCTGCATTGGAACAGTGTCTCTAAAAGGAGACCATAAGAACTCGACTCAGGCTGTAAAAGGCTGTGTTTGTATGTGTACAGCCATGAGCCACCTGAATGGCCAGCGGCTGCACGGGAAGCCTCTGCGCATCACTCTGTCCAAACACACGAGCGTTCAGCTTCCTCGCGAAGGGCACGAGGACCAGGGCCTGACCAAAGACTACAGCAACTCCCCCTTGCACCGCTTCAAGAAGCCCGGCTCCAAGAATTATTCCAACATCTTCCCACCTTCTGCCACCTTACACCTTTCCAACATTCCGTAAGTCCTTCAGCTTACTCCAAACTGAGAGGTGCTGCTGACCCCAAAATGGGGGAAAAAAACTGCATTCCTCAAATCTACTTTGCTTGTGTTTGTAGCCCCTCTGTGGTTGAAGATGATCTGAAGATGCTGTTTGCCAGCTCAGGAGCCGTGGTCAAAGCCTTCAAATTCTTCCAGTAAGTCGCTCCTTTACTGTCTCAGCTTCTTAAACTCATGGCTATTGATTCGTGTCATCCATTTTAAAAAAAAAAAGCCCTGAACCTCCTGTCTGTTTGTCTGTCTCGTCGTGTTAATTTGTTTGATTAGCATATGTACAAGTCCTTGTTTTCAGGAACATGTTGTGAAAACACATTGTGGCGGCTGTTTGCTCCTATTTATTTCTTAAATGGCCTGTAATTGCTGGCCAGTCAGTAAATGGGTTTGGTTGTGGACTTTGTGCCCCCCTTGCAGTAAAAGACCAAAATCTCCTTCAGTCTTTTAGGCTCATCTTGGAGTGTCCAAGCAGCTTGTTCAGTGTGTGCGATACTGAATGTCCTGTTGTTGCTTTGCCTCAAAACAGTCTGAATGGAAGCTCTTGTTCATTTCTCATACAGGAAGGACCATAAAATGGCTCTAATCCAGGTGGGCTCTGTGGAGGAGGCCATCGAGTCCCTCATAGAATTCCACAACCATGATTTGGGAGAAAACCACCACCTGCGAGTCTCCTTCTCCAAATCCTCAATCTGAGCCACCATCTGAATCCTTAGAGTCAGCACGACAGTATCTACCACACTCCAATCATTCCACCACATGTCTGTAGAAAACACAGTAGAGTCTGGATTAATGTTAAATTATTATTATTATTATTATTATTATTATTATTATTATTATGCTTTTTTCTGTTTTTCGATTCTTTGCCTTCTGACAGAATTAAGGTCTCTTGAGGAGAAATCTGACTTTATTCTCTCAAATTTTATAAACTAGAGAATAAAGTTGTAGTTCTGACCTGTTCAGGCTTTCTGGAATAAAGCCGGAGTTCTTCGGTTAGTCAGAATTCAGACAGCAAAGTACTTTTTTTTTTTATCTTGCCTTTGGGCTTTGTTCCCACACCAAGGGATTAAAGTCGGCCTTCTTATCCAAAGATGTTACATTTTTCAGATTCAGACTTTTACTTTGATCTTAAATTAGCCCAAGTTTTACAGGTGACCCTGTTCCTTTTTAGCTCTCCCTTTAAAAGTTCCAGCTCTGCTTGTAAACGATCAGAGGTCAGATGTCCGCTCAGGCCTTCAGGTCCAAGTGTGGCCCCGTAAAGAGAAGCCTGGCTAGACCTTCACATGATCCCTGTGCCTTATTCCTGGAGTGTGAATGATCGTGATTATGTCATGTTTAAGAGAAAGAGGGAAAAAAAAGTGAGCAGGTTTACAGTTGAAAAGGTTTACTGTTAATGAGCTGTATTACAGATATATCTGTGTTTTCTGTCTCTAGTGTTTTGTACCACTGTGTTACTGTAGTGTGAAACAAGAACTGACTGTCTTTTAGGTTTGTTGGGTCTTTAGTCCTAAATGCATTGTTTTTCTTTTTGATTTCTTTATTTCTGTGTTTGCAATCATGTGTTAATCAAATGTTGTAGCAATATTTTAATCATTCCTGATATAACTGTTTTTGTGTTAGGTTTTTTTTTTTTTTTTTTTTTGGGTGCCTCTGTGAGCTCGGCCTTTCACGGCGTGCAGACGAATGTTTTGTCTAGTTGGTGAATCTGGTCAGGTTGTCTTGTGTGTCGCCTTTCTGGATGGTTTTATTTATAAGTTTGTGATCCACTACAGCTGAAACCAAAAATGGCCTTCAGGATGCAAACAAATATGTCTGCCTCAGGTTTCTGGTTTTATGGACTACAGAAAGACTGCAAGCTGGTTTCAGCTTTCTTATTTTCCTGTGAGAATGCAGAATGTTTTTATTCATTTCTTAATTGCAAAACCAGATGTTTGGAGTGCCTTTGACGCAGCACTGAGTTGTAATCAGGCATTAATTTATCTGTATACTGATGTGACGGTTTGGCAGGGAGGAAGCCCACAGTCCTCCGAAACCACAAAATGCTGGTTTGATCTGTTTGTGTCTTAATATGAATATTGTTATTTTGTCATTCCAGCTGCTCAGATGTTCAACTGAACTTCAAAAATACAAAGATTCTTCACTGACCATGGTTCATTTAAACAGGTTGATTGTGGTGCCTTCAGTAGAGCTGGGAGGGTTTGTGTGTTCACTTTGTCACTAGGTGAGGAGAAAATGGTGATTGTGTCCCAGTTTACTCCCTCCCTACATACCCAGACCAAAGGTCCAGGTGGGCAGGTCATTTCAGAGTCAAACAAATAAACTGTAGCCGCGTTGCACCTGAATTTGAACATGACAAAAGCCCCTGCTCCATTAGTACCTACTCGGATTGACTCGCCACAACCCGACTCGGATCAACTGGTTTTCCATTACAATCGAGTACTACCTAATGTGCGTCATCGTTGTTATAGCAACCCCTCCCAAGGCCTTGTGACGTAATTAGTATGCGACACAAACGCTGCAACAAAGGTGGCAGTTGAGGCAACAATATACCTGCTGGTCAGTCTGTGGCCTTTTGTCAGACTCCGAACCACGACATGGTTTGTTTTTTTGTTTTTGGTTTTTTTTGGTAGCCATGTCACTCGTTGCTAGGTTTCAAACGTGGTGGTTTAGATTTTTGTGAATGAGACGGTCTCATGACTCATCAAATGAAATGACGGCACTGACCAGCCAGTCGGTGGCATGCAGTCTGACATAACATTTAGTACCTGTTTGGATCCCTTGGAATCCCTGCCAAGTAGGTACTATTTTAGTACCTGGCATTAGGAACTATCACCTAATGGAAAAGCCTGGCAAGTCGATCTAATGGAAAAGGGGCTAAAGTTACATCTTACGAGGTCCCTGCACATTGTGATTTCAGAGTTTGTATGGATGTGCGAGGAATTTGAGACAGTTTCTAAAATTCACAGCTATACGTAACAGGTGGGCACATCAACGATAACAACCAAACCCTCATGTACTGACACTTTTTACCACCTTCTTTCATTTAACTTTTCAATTGGCTTTAATTCTTACTGCGGAATTAAAATACTCATGTTCATATTGTTGGCAAGAGAAGTCTGAGCTCCTAAACACGTTAAAAAAAAGAGAGAGATATTGAAGACACATGTTCACTGAACACGAGGGTGTTTGTATTGGCGATTGATCAACTTAAACTGTCCATTTTCTTCCACTATCAGACTGTGATGTGCAGTTCAGGGTTGTGATAAACCAGCTCATTGCAGTTCACACAATGTAAAGTTCAAACCTTTCTGATTATGTGAGGTGCAAGTCTGACCTGAACCTGACTGCTGTTACCACAGTGCCAGGGACCTTCATCTGTCAAACTGATCGATGTGCTGCATGCTGTTCATCACTACATGGAGGCCGGGAGACGTATTAGGACACAGTTCCCTTTAATCTGAAACCGCAGCCTTTCCGTTGGGACAGATCCTACAGGTGACTGGAATGCATCACAAAACCTGGTCGGGTGAGGTGGGAATGGGACCAGTCAGTCAGTAACAGGAGGGAGGGGCATTCAGCTGTACATACACATTTTATACCACAGTTCAGTGTCTAAAAGGCGATTGTCAGTTTTCTATCTGATAAAATCTGTATATTTTGATTAAAGTGTGAAATCGGTTCTGAGCCTTACATTGTTTGTGTCTAAAAGAAAGATTAAATCACTTTTTAATCTAAACCTCTAAGCTTTTGTTATCTGTCATCAGTGCGGTTTATATCAGTCTTTCACAAGTCTTGTGTGCGTAGAGTTGTTTGTTCATGTTAATCACTTTGTTTGATGACATTGATCAGTCATGGCTAACAGAGCTTTTTAATGAGTGTTTATTGATGATATGACTTCTGATAGAAGTACCTGAGGCTTATACTGCCAACCAGAATTTAGTCTGATCCAAGGTAACTTGGCTTTACACTGGGTGTTTCTAATTTTTTAGTTAAACAGGCAGGAGGTTACTGGGTTACACTGGATCAATGCAGTAAAATATAAGAAAATAAGTTGTATTTTACTTATGAGACGGACTAATTTGGGGAAATTACTGCAATGTTGCCATTAATAATACACTTGAATTCATATACAAAGATTCAGCCAGTTCACTTCAGTAAAAACAACCATTATGCCAAGAGCAGAACATTAGTGACTCAAAAACAAAGTGTTAGAGCAGGTTTCATGCATTTCTCTCTGAAAACAGCGTGGCAATTCAAATTAATGAGAGGACGCTGAAGAAAAAATAAATATGCTTTTGATATAAGAAATGACTGATAGGAATTGTAGAGCAGTGTGCACATTATTCTGATTAAGACTTAGATGCAGTGGAAGATTTATGCAAAGGAAACCTGCATTACAATAGTGCAAACTATTCCGCCATACAAACCTTAAACAGCTGACCTTTATTTTTACTGCTTTCTACATAGTAGATACATATTGAAGACAAAGATGTAAAGCAAGATACATGGAATTGTGCAGCACAGAAAAAAAACTAAATACAAATACATATCAGAAAACATTGGAACAGTATGGTAAACACAATTTTTTTTTTCTTAAAGTTTTGCCTGGTCAACTTCATTTGTAAATGTATATCCTTTCCTGTCATTCAGACCTGCAACACATTCCAAAAAAAGGTTGGGACAGGAGCAATTTACATCTAGTAATCAGGTAAATTGGTTAAATAATGATGTGATTTGAAACAGGTGATGTTAACAGGTGATTGTAACTATGATTCGGTACAAAAGTAGCATTCAAGAAACATCTAGCCCTTTAGGAGCAAAGATGGACCGAGGATCGCCAACAAATACGTGAGGAAAATTATTGAAATGTGTAAAAACAATGTTCCTCAAAGAAAGATAGGAAGAGATTTGGATATTTCACCTTCAGCAGTGCATAACGTAATTAAAAGATTCAAGGAATCTGGAGGAACTTCAGTGCGTAAAGGACAAGGGCGCAAGCCTAAGCTGAACAACTTCTCTCCGATCCCTCAGGCAGCACTGCGTCAAGAATTGTCATTCATCTATAAGCGATATCACCACATGGGCTCAGGTCTACTTTGGCAAACTTTTGTCAAGTACCACAATACGTAATTGCATACGTAAATCCATAAATGCTACTCCATACCCACATACTGATGGGCCAGATAGTAAATGATATGTGAAATAATCTTGCAGGCAGGATATGTCCTGCGGGCCGTATGTTTGACACCCCTGGTTTAGAGTAATTGGGGTGGCTGTGGCTCAGGAAGTAGAGCAGGTCACCTACTAATTGGAAGGTTGGTGGTTTGGTCCCCATCTGCTCCAGTGTGTATGGCAAATATCCTTGAGCAAGATACTAAACCCAAGTTGGTCTTCTATATGTGTGATTGCTAGAAAGTACTTTCATAAGAAAAGCATAGAAAAAAAGTTCTTGTACGAATGGGCGAACGAGACAAGTTGTATAAAGTGCTCAGAGTAGAAGAGTGTTATATTTAAGAATCGCCCCATTTACCATAATTGCTACTGGTGCCAGTCAAAATGTCCTAACGTTTCCTTTCTTATTTGTGTTAGAAATAAGTTCTTTATACAGTTTCTTTATAACATTAATTGCAGTGTATGCTCATAGAGTTCATCCACTCCTTGTTAGAAGGATACAAGCAGAAGCCCCACGGTGTGAAGGGTTATCTAAGAGACAGGAGAGTTGCTACGCACTTGCACAACAGAGTTTCAGATAGGAGGCTCCCTTGGCCTCATGTGGGGGTATAACACGATGTTCTAGTCAACAAGAAATACGAACTTTATTGTGTTGGTTAAAGCTGACATCAGCATAAAAATAAAACATCCCTGGTAACAACTGTAAGGTAGGGGGAGTTTTCTCACACAGGACAAGATCCCTGACTGGAGGTCAAAGACTGTTACCATGCAGAAGGAACCTGAGGAAAAAACATCAGGGAGTGCTTTGTTTAAACCACGGCATCTCCTCATCAATAGCTAATCACAAATATGTCTAGTTTCCATGTGTCTAATATATACTTTTAATTATGAACTGTACTTCACTTCTCTGTGTGCAGACTGACATAGTCATTCACAGCTGTGCAACCCGAATCTTTAACTGTCTGATTTAAAAAAAAAAAAAAAAAAAAAAGTGAAATGCCAGATTGTCGCCTGAACTTCTCTCAGTGAAGAAGAATGCCACAGTTGCTCAGTGTAGGCCTGTATTGATAACTATTATAAACCCATCTATGGGTTTATAATTATTATAAACCCATCTATGCTGGATTTCAGGAAAGTGAATGACTGCACAATAAGATAGTCTTACCCTATTCCCACAATCCAAGACATTCTGGATAACCTAGCTGCTGCTGCTGTATGTATTTTCTTTGCTAGACCTGAATACCTGGCTATTGGCATGGTGGAAATGTATCTCGTAGTACAAGATGTTACTGCATTCATCTGCCCCTTGGGTCTCTAACAGTTTATGGTTATTTCATAAACTGTTAACATTGTAATGTTACCAGAGGCTAATGGAAAGAGCTCTGGGGGATCTGAAAGGTGTTATCTGCTTTGTGTATCTGAATGATATCATCACCTTCTCCAGGTGCTGGGAACAACGATTCCAGGACATCCAAGCTGTTCTGGACAAACCTGGAGAGGCTAGCCTAACTGTAAATATGAAAGAATCTCTCAAATTTCTAGATCATGTGACAACTCCAGTGCAAGTGAGAGTCAAAATGTCCCAGTGACTACAGAATTTAATCTACTGGCCAAAACTAACCCTCCCCTGCTGCATAGGCACAGATCACACCCTGCCACTGTTTTTAATTAAATTGACGACACAGATAAGCCACACAAAACACCACTGTGCATTGTAACAAGAACAGGAAATGATACTCTACTGCATAGAGAGCCAACACCCGGTTGGAGCTTTTACTTCTCTGAGAACAGTTACAACCTGCACTTCATATGGAATCATGCTAGCATTAGCAAGTAAACGAGCTTCAGTTCTTTAGCACTGTAACAGATGAGTCTCCTCTTGCTTACCACAAACTTGGTTAGTATGTGTGATGTAGAGAAGATGTGGCTTGAAAAAGTAATGTACACTCCATCACATTACATTGTACATGTAATTTCATAAAAATACACACGGTAATTTCTTGGTAGATATAAGCTCTATGGATATAACAACTTCTGAAAGTTTCTTTCTCTAGCATTAAAGTGCTAGTAAGTCTTGTTGCTGTCTTTAGCTATATGCTGCCTATGTGGGGTCTACACACCTGGATGCCACTGTCTTTGGCAAGGCTCTTTGCTACCTCTACAAGCTACATGATCCCATGCTTCAGCACATTTATGATATTAATAACAGGTGCACCACGAATCAGGAATGGCTTCATAGGTGGACCTCACTGACATCTTTTTTTTTTTTTACCTCTTCATCTTTTCTGATTTCTTTTAATTTATTATATCTGCATATGTATATATTATTTTAATTTTTCCTTGTTGATATCTGATGTCTTTTCAAAGGGTTATTTGAATTTTTTGAGCAGTGTATAAAACAACGTGGGTTTGTCATCATTTGTGGCTGCATTTGGTCAAAATTGATGGAATTATGAATGCAAAATGGGAGATTTTGATCTACCAATCACTGATGTCAAGCCCACCGCTAATGCAGAAAAACACATCACACAGAGGCACAGTATTACTAATGGACTGGACTTCCACAGCTCTGACATCTTCATTATTAAAGCAGTGTGGGATCATCTTGACAATACACAGAACAAAAGGTGGTCAGCCTCCAAAGATCAGCTTTTCAATAACCTTCAAGAAGTCTGGAGAATTATTCCTACTACTTAAAGAAAGCACAACAAAGTAGCCAATAGTCAATTCACTCTGTACATGA